GGGCTCTAAAGGCGCTCTGCCGCCCCCCAGCGGCCGGAGCTGGGCACAAGAGGGGGGATGTCACCGGTGTCCCGTCCCCGCCCCCCATATGGCGACACATGCTGCAAACATCGCTCCCACCCCTCCATCAGACCCAAAGAGCGACCCCCGACTTTATTCAAGCAGATTTGGCCGTTACAAAGTCAGTACGTGCAACATTAAAAACGTCAGTGCCCGTAAAAAAAAAAAAAAAAAAAAATCCAGGATCCCAAATGGCACCCTGCACTGAAAAGGAGTGAGAAGGTACCTGTGGTCATGAAACCTAGAGCAGAAGCTCCCCAAAATTAGATAGGAACATATTCTGGGCAGAAATGGAGCGTCCTTCAGTAGGAGTGGCCAGACATCACACATGGGGGCAGGGTATATCACATAGGATCCATAGGGCAGGGTACAAAGCAGTCACAAACTGTTCAGCATCCCTATTCAAATAACCCTTTACATATAACAGGGCCAGGGGTTTAGAAAGCTGGTGCAATATCACAGCTGACTATAAGATGTTGCTGCTGACCCCTGGGATTGAAAATCACAGCTGTGGAGCAACCTCAGGTGGCACTTGCATGAGACCAGATGGAGGGGCAGAGATTTCTGCAGAACTAAATGTTCAGCAGCAAGTTTCAAGTAAAGGGAATGATGCAGCTGAGCAAAATTAGGATTTCTGGGGGTGAAGGATTCACTGGGCTGGACGTGGGGGAGCATTTAAAAGGAACAAGCCAAAAGACAAACTGCAAACACCAGAGGAGATCCAAAGTAGATATGGATTAAGTCCCCCAAAACAAGCCTAATTTGTAAGAAGCCCATTTTCAAACACAAACCTACCCCCTACACAGAGGGTAAAGAGGACGAGTGTTGCAAGCCCCATGAACTGGCATCTCCACCCTAGAGAAGCAAGGGTTTCGGAGTAACTTTTGCCTTCCTGCCTGTCGCCAAGAGAGGCAGAGGCCAGGCTCGCCCCTCCCCGAGAAAGGCCACCTGAGAGAGCACGCTCTCCCTCACAGGACACAGTGCAGAGGAAACAAGAAGTTTCATTCCTGGTTCTTAGCATGATTTCCCAAACTAACAAACCAGGTGGAGAGAAACACAGGAGAGACCTCAGCAGGATGTCATACTGACTCTTTGGGAAGGAGATCTGGAGGCACTGCTGCTGCTTAGGATTGTACAGAACCAGAAGGGAGGGAATTTCCCATCCTTTACATATTCAATGTAATATTGAATATATTACAACAGGGGGCAATAGGAAGAACAGCTGTTGCCAACCCTTTTACGGCAGAACAGTTTACTGGCATCTATCCCCAACAGCCTGGGTACCTGCCTCCTCCTTACATGGAGGTTCAGGATTTTGTAACTTCAGATTGCATTTATTCACTTAATTCTAGATCCCTAACTACACAAAGCTCCCATCCCAGTCTTTGTCTGCTATGAGCCCACCCCCCAGAAATGCCAATTGCCCAGATTAGGTCAATATCAACATCATTTTAAAAAAAGATCACAAAAAACCTGATTGCTCTCTACAACACATGCTCTCCCCAATACCGATACAGGGTGAGATCCCGTGGATAAAACGTGATCCAGTCAGGTCTTTGGCTCTGGTTCCTGACACAGTTCCCCATACACTTTGGGGGTGAATGTTTTCCTGCTCCTTGCTCTTCTTCTCCCCAGGAGGAAAGGAGCACCAAAGGTTAACCCCCTGGGCACAGAAACAGAGGTGCAGGAGCCGCCTACACACCAGTCTCATTTCTTTCGCTGCTTTTGACATTAGGATCCTCTTGCACCCTTCTCATCTCCAGCCCTTTCACCCACGTGTAGGCGAAGGAGCCCCCCAGAACCATCAAGTTACTTGTCCACCACAAGAAGCTCTTTGCCTCCTCAAAGTAGATAACAGCCAGCACTGTTTGGGCACAGGCCTTGGCTGTCCCAGACACATTGTGGGTGAGTGGGCTAGTGAACTTAATCTGAAGTCCAGTGACATACCCAATGGCAAAGCCAAACACTCCCCCCAGGGTCATCACACCCCAAAAACTGGGGCTCCCCAGCTTGTCAAAATGGTAGAGGGTGCGGAACTCGCCCATCAGCATCATAAGTGGGAAGAAGAGGACACAAGCGTTGACGTTGTTGTAGAAGGTCAGGCGCCAGATGCTACCATCCACCACAGGCAGCACCTTCTTGGTGTAGATGGCATTGAGCGAGACACACAGGCTTGCTAAGATCCCAAAGAATATACCTGGCCACGACAGAGTGCCCTCCTCTCCCTCCTGGTCAACACCCAGCCAGAAGCCACCTGCAACCAAACAAATCAGGTATCATCTGAACAACTGCTGAAGGAGTCAAAGCATACAGTCAGCAATTCATCATCTACCTTATACTGAACCACCACAAGCAGAGACAGGCTTAAGGGCTTCCCTTTTCTATTAAGTGAACCCACAAAGTGTCATGACTAGTGTCCTGGGAAGATTTATTTTGGGAATGTGGTTAATTTTACTGTGCTATCATTCAATCTCAGAGGACTGATTCCCACACTGAGCAGGCAGCATGAGTTTAGAAACTGTTATTCCAAAGAGCCATGAACTAAAGTTAAAGCTACTTTTTGTGTATAGGTCATTCTCAGGAGATCATGATTTTTTTTTTTTTTAATTGAAAAAGGCAGCAAACTGACACACGGGTAGCAAGAAATATTCCTCAAGCTTTTTTTTTTTTTTTAAAAAAAAAAAAGGCTCACAGGCTTTGCTGTGCTGTTAACAGGAAGGGAAAGATAGGTCTGAAAAGAAGATAGAAAGATAGTAAACACATGGATGTAATGTTAAGGAGCTTGACCCAGGGGAAAAAAAAAAAAAACCACAACCACAAGGCAGAAACCAAGTGCAGTATCTTCAACACATTAAAATTCTTCAATGGGTAATGCACTCTTCAACCACCTCCAAAACAGGAGCTACAGGCTTTGTGTTTCCAAGGCAGAGAGGGAGACCTCTCCCCATCCAGTTCGTAAGCAAAACATAAAAGGGGAGATGCGCTACTGAAGGAGCACTGCACAGCCTCTCCATTAGCTGATTTATGTTGGAGGCCACCTGGGAAGTTGCCTGCAAAGTGGCTGATGTGCTTTAAACTAAGCCCAAATACAAATGAGTTCAATGCACAGACAGGAAGGACTTTGCGTCAGGCCACAGAGGATGCTCAGCTGTGCTGCTACAGGCATACGGGCAATGCTCCCCCAGCAAAAGGAGATGGAGCCAGGGCGAGAGAGAGTCTTAAAGAAACCCTGCAAGGCTGGCAGATGCCATAGTCCTGGGCAATACCCGAACAGAAGACTAGCTGAAGGCAATTGCTTGCATCACTTGGGTGGAAAACACAGTAGCTCCGTTCCTGTTCACCTCTTCTGTGGAGAGGAGACTCTCTTGTCTCATTTTCGTCTGAATCCAGCTGCTTGTCTAAGCACCAAAGTGAACACCCATCCACCTGGCACCAGACTGAAGTCAACATTTCATCATTCTTGGCATCTAAATGGCCCTCCAGCAGAAGGTAGCCTTTGGCATTACCGATGCCTTTGGAATGAAAGCCTTCTAAGCAATTCCCGTTAAGCCTGCCCTACATACTAACCACACAACCAGATCTTCTGGTGGTGTTTTATGCTTGGCTTGATCAGCTAACCCTTCATCACTTGCATTCAGCCTGTCTGAATTGGATGGCTCCATTGTATGGTCCCAATGGTGCTGAGATAAATACTGTTATTGTTACCAAAGTTAATAATCAACAAGCACTTGAGAACAGGGAGAAAGCCACCTGCTGTTTTCTGGCCTTTGTGGGCGGGGGGGGAAAAGGTAAGGCAAGTTAAACTTCATTAGAGAGTAGATAGGTTTTAGTGCTCAAAGGAAGAAAGGGAGCCATGGTCAAGTAAGAGTAATTTCCTTTCTTAACGAGTTACCTACATGCTCCAGACATGGGAAGCGGGTCGCCCAAGGCAGAGCAAAGCACAAGCCCTGAGCTACCCGACCTCACCAGGGAACCACCGTGCAGGTGGGGACGGTTTCCCAAGGGGAAGACACCCCACCTCCGGCACTCCAAGGTTATGGGGCCAGCTGTTGGGTGGGTGCAGCCCCCTCCCTTTTTTTACTCCGCAGGCCAGGAGGGCGTAGAGGGAGGTGGTCTGCTTGAGGAGCAGGTAGGAGAGCAGCACGTTGAAGACGGTGGTGAGGGAGCGCCCCACGTTGTAGAAGGCCACGCCGACGTGCTTGAGGCAGAGGTTGTTGGAGGTGACCATGCCAATGAAGACAGCAGAGAGGGGCAGGACGCTGCGGGACACCTTGGGGT